GTACGTAAGTCATATGGACTTTGGCACTTCTTGTACCTAGCCACAGAAATAAGAAATAAAGTACCGAAATAAAATAAAATTTACATCGTTTCATTGACGTTTTAGAGAGCCCTTTCATTAGAGCAAATCCATTATTATTGTAATCCATAGTTTAATATCCCTGTTTTCAAGTGAACAAAAACAAGAGTATAAGTTTTATTATATGTATAAGTTTTAATATATAAATCATATACTTATAATAAAACTATAGATATTATATATTATCAAGGATATAGAATAAATTTCTGTTTGACCTAATTTGATGTCTGCAAATTGGAAAAAAGTTTGACGCAAATCCTAATTTGAATAATAAAGGTTTATCTTCCACGTAAGTAGTTCTTTGTACTTTGCAAACAGTTATCGTGTTAAGCACCTCACTTAGCATGTATAGTGATATCCATGGTAGAAATGTCGGAGTATTTGAGTGCCAAAAGAAAACTTCTACTCTGAACGCAAAGTACGCAATTTAAATTTCCATCTTTTTAAACAATCTCTGAAGCGTCGATTACGCCGCTTTAATGGCACCTTAGCGCGCCTTCAATACAATCTAATCAGGAACTCTACTAATGGAGAGCACCAAGCGTAAGATAAAAAGAAAAACAAAGAACATTCACACTCACCGCCTTTCTTTCGTTACAGATAAACATCGCTCAATGTGAAACGGAAGCATGGACCTAAAATATCTGATCTTAATGATCGCCTTCGCGACAGTCGAAATCAATGTCACTGAGAGCCGGCAAAGCGATAAGCGCAGATACAAGAACGACAAAGGTCTCTATTCGCACTACGTCAACATCTGCGATATACAGGACCGAGTGTCCAAAGTGCATTGCTATTGCGAGAGTATAAAAATAAAAACAGCCACCAAAGCTGATTGCTGGGTTTTCAATGGAGGTATAGCGGAGGATGATCCGTTCTGGTCAAATTTCTATTCCCAGCCCAAAATTGAAAGGCTAACATTCAACGTCCGAGCCGATGGAGGCTTGACGTACATCCCAGCTAAAGTGATCGTTAGACTTGACCGACTGCAGCATCTCAATATACAATATGCGAACATTTTTAGTATACCTTCGTTTGCATTTACGAATTCCACTACGCTGAAAGAAATTTCCCTACCAAAAAATAAAATATCGAAGCTGGAAAGATTCGCTTTTGCCCACTTGATAATGCTCTCGAACGTTAGTTTGGTAGAAAACCAGATATCGGAATTGAAAAGAGACGTGTTTTACATGCTGCCAAATTTGCAGAAATTGCATTTGTCGAAGAACACAATAAGCGTGCTGCACGACGGATGTTTCAAGCATTTGAACAATCTAATAAAATTAGATTTAGCGAGTAATTTGTTGACGGTTGTCATTCGAGAGAATTTCCAGGGGCTGTCCAACTTGATCAATTTAGATATGAGAAACAACAAATTAACAATGATAGGCGACTTGGCGTACGCAGAACTTTGGAGCCTTCAGGAACTTTACCTGGACGGTAATGAAATAGAATTTATATCGGAGAGAGGGTTTGGGGGATTGACGCAATTGAGGAAACTTTCTTTAGCTGATAATAAGTTGAGTGTGTTAGACGATGGGGTGTTCGAAGATGTTCAGAAGCTGAGTTATTTGGATTTGAGGAACAACGGGCTCGAGACAGTGCGCGATGAAACATTGCAGAATATTATTGAGAACATGAAGTCGAATTATGCACTAATCTCGCTCGACGGTGAGTTGCAAATTATTTTCTTTTCATTAAAAGTTGTACAAAGTCAGTCGCTTTCTGCTTGGTTTTGTTAATTAATAGCATGTTTGACATATATTCTTTTTAAAGGTATTCAGTAGTAAGTATTAACCAAGTCTTTTAGTTCCATCAATCGGAATATTCAATTAGTGTAGAAGATTTATTCTATCTATAAATTGTTCCAATTGATGAATAGATCACCAAATCGCTTCCACTATTTTATTATTATACTACTGAACCCTCATTTCACGTAATAAGCTCCCTTTTCTTTACTACCGCTACCCTAACTACCAAAAATCAAATCACGTTCACAAAAATACTACTGATATTTCCTCGTATATGTAATGAAGATTATGTTAGCTTAATCCTTAGTAGGCAGTATTTTTCACTAATACCCGAGCACAAGGAACAAAAGGGCTCCGCTAATTGGGTTCCGGTGGGACTATGACGTCCCGGCTATAAGGAAAACACTCTATAGAACAAACAACTTTCATACGAAGCCGGGTTAATTAACCAATGGACAATTGACCACAATACCATAGTGCAATTTTGTAATCAGTAGTTTAAAGACCTTAAAAATCAATAACGTCACGGCGCCATTCCAAGTACTATGTTTAGGTCCTTATTGTTTATCAAGAAACAATCCAGAACACTCAGATCGGAATTAATTTAGAAAAATTCATTTCCCAAATTGGTGCCACCGGGAAACGGGCCCGGGACTACTTCATCCGGCGGCCACAGTGCAAACCGTGGGGCAGTTGAGGTCATTAATCTCTCCTCTGAAGAAAGTTGTTTGGTATATTATTTGTTATAATTATTAATACAAAGATCGAACACTCAGAAAAAACACTCAGAAAAAATTCCTTCGATCCGGTCGGATTCGAACCGACGTCTTCTTGCATACCGTGCCAGACGCTATACCAACAAAGCCAACTAACTCAATCCAACCAACTAAGGCAATAAAAATTTAATTAATACGGTGAGATAGCGACATCTCTCGCCAGGACTGGTAGCTGTAAAGGTACTAACTGGGTGATAAATCTGCAATAGATTTCTCATAGATGGCGTTACGACTAAAAAGTCGTTGAAAGACCATTATTGGTAATTAAATATTAAATACGTAATTTTGCGAATTTCGTCCATTATGGCAAAGCTCAAGTTAACTGGTCGATTTGAAGTGAAACAGTTGACGACACTCATTGACGACACCCGTCAATTGTTTCGAACTCGAGCCAGCCAACCGGAGCGCAGTTGTCACAGTAATGATATGGCAGAATAGTTTCCAAACAAATTAAATGACATTTCGTCTCTATTTCTGGTTATATACTCGATGCTATTGACAGATGATTCTAGGGTACTGTTAATTCACCTTCAACTGTGACATCAACCAATAACCGTACAACGCTAAATATAATAACAGTATGTGCGGCAATGGTGCGCAAATGACATAGTAGGTAATTAACGTAGCGTCGATGGCCATTCAATTATTGCCATTTGCGCTGGTTTCAATCGGTTCATTTATTTATGAATTAAAGCGTATGTTTGTACCAAATAATATTGCTGATCTTTTACTGCGTAAAATACTGTGTACTTGTGGTGTGTTTCCCGTAACCCGTCTAACCTGACGAAACTTGGGTAGGGAGAAGCAACAGCCTTCCACTTGCTAAGTTCCTGATACACATATTTCGCCTCATCAACACGCATCAGTGCATGCATACATGCTCGTCGCTTAAGGGTACTCTTGACCCGGCCTTTCTTTAGGGCATCCTCAATTTGGTCATTTATCATTTGGTTGGTCGGTCCTTATCAACTTGCTCGTTCACTCTGGTCTGTTTTGTTTGATTCATCATCGAGTTCATTAATTACAATTTTGCCCTGTTAAGCCGAAAGGCGCTATCTCTGAGATACGCCCTTTTAGCTATAATAATTTCGCATCTAATGGTATAATAAAAATAGCGCAATCTATAGTCTATTTCAATAGAATTGAGAGTAAACGTAAACAAACCAGTTGGGTTAAAATTCTGAAGAAATCACTCACTATATGGAATAAGTAACACTTTTATGTGTATTTTGTAGGTTTCCACTAGATATCTCACCACTTTTTCCAACAATATTCGTTTGTTATGCATTATAAAATCATAATTGAAAAATCTTCGCCGAAAACTGAGATTGATTTGACAATCCATAGTCTAGAATGTCTATGGTTGCATAGGGATGTACGGAAAAAAGTTCAATTGAGTGAATCATAGTTTGAGTAAGTGATTGCCTCAAGAGTCACCAGAAACTTACGTCTTGAAGTCATTTGACCAACTCTTATTTCTGTACCGCTTACAAACGATTTAGCGACTTGTTAACTATCAAGTATTTTCATAATTTTCTGTATTTAACTGATAGCTTCTAACTTTTAAACAATAAATGTCAATAATCGTAAATAAAGAAACGTTTTTATATGTATCACCTTCAATCAATTTACAACGGTCAAATGCGCGGAATTCACTTGATGTTAGTTCAACAGATTCAATTGATCGATCTGATTCATTCAATAATTGATTAGTAAATTACTCTACAATTGCCCATCACTAAACCGACTATGGTCGGGTCAATGCACTCAATGTTTACCTTTACTCTCAATTCATTTGAAACAGGGTATAACTTAAAACATTTAAAAAACCACGAAGAAGTATTTTTATATCTCAATTTTTGAAACCTTTGTTTATAATCAAAATAGCGGTATCTCACAAAATAGGTATAATGGTATAATGTATGGATAATTTAGGTATGTCAATAAATGTATTATTCAACAATACGTATAAATAAGTTTTAACATCTTGAAAAAGATTTATTTTTGAAGGTGCGAAAATACAATTTATAAAAAGTCGATTTTCTCAAAACTTACTTCGATTGAGATAGCGCTTTTCGGCAGAATTTTGGTGATATTTTATTAATAAAATAGAACTGCATTGATCATATTTAACTGAAATTTATTATAATATCTGAAAATTCCATCCTGACATGAATTTATGTGGACCTTAAGTTTGTGTTATCCTGAAAAAAATAAGTATAACGTAATATTTTAAAAAGTACTCCCGTCAATATTTTTATCTCGTAGTCTTTATAGTACATAGGGAGTAACTAGGATCAATATTTGTAATGATAACATAACCTTTAGGGATTAAACTTAAATGTAAAGTGTATGATGATTTTGTTGTTGCAAAATTTAGAATAACCATGTATACCAAAATTGTTACATTGGCATGATACACAGGTGCAAAATTAAAACCCAATGAATTGGATTATAATTTTGGATGATGAGACATTTTAGAGGACTTGAGGTAATATGTTATATCAATTTGCGTAGATAAAAAATATGCATTATTATTAAATACGCATATATCAAGCAATGCGTTAATGTAGTCTAATTGCACTATATTTTCCACAAGCGTTCAGCCTGAACAAGGAACCCTGCCTTTCATAAAAAATTAAACCAAATTAATGAAAATGTTGCAACGAAATAAGTAGGGTGTGAAATTGATATGAAAAAGTTTCACGTGAATCGCGTATAATGCAAGCGCAAGCGAAATGCGACGGCAATGTATGGATGCCGTAAAAACGTCGCACTGTCGCTGCTCTAGCACTGGTTTGGTGGTAATTTAAATTCGAGAAACTAATTTTGAAACTGGCGGTTTCAAAAATACCATACCATTGTTACCTCTTCTCTTTCATTAATGGTTCAAGAAAACTAGGTAATAATATATCAATGCAAAATTGCAAAGTGTGAGGTATTAGGTAGGTCAATCGGTATTAACAATATACAATTTAGAAAACCTCGGTGGCTTAACGGGCGCTGGATGCGGAGTTCCCGGGTTCGATTCCCGGTAGGACCAATTTGGAAAATGAACTTTTCTAAATTTGTTCTGGGTGTTCTTGGAAATCCGGAGTTTAGAATTCCGTTGCTTTGGTACTCGTACTACTTTCATAAGTTTCTCCCAATGGCGCTGACGGCAAAAAAACCGTTAAATCGAATACAAAGATCTGCAACAAGCGCATAGAGAAATCCGTAAGATCTGCTGACTTGGTCTGTAGCTCAGTTGCTTACCAACGCGGTGACCCCGTGTGGCAACAGACGCTGGCTCGAGTCCAGTCAGATTTAAAGAATTTTTCGTAGTGTTAGGCTCAACTCACACTGGCGCGGAGTCGAAGCGTCGTGACGCGTCATGTTTTTCGTCTATAGCATATTCATCTCTATTTTCCCATTATTAAGGTACAAATTTGTGTTATGCAAATATGTAATCGAGTGTCGACGCGCTTACACGCTTGTTTACAGTCGAGCGCGTCAGACGCCGATCACACTGTGATCCGGGCGTACTAATGCGACCGTCGTTGCGTCGCCAGGCGGTGTAATTGACGCGACGCTTCGACTCTGCACCGGTGTGAGTTGAGCCTTAATGGATCTTTGTATCTATAACAAATTAGTACAGTATTTTCACAAAAAAATGAATAATTATCATGGTAGTAAAACGTCATATTTAATAATATCATGATTTTTTTTAAATATTAAATGTAACTATGAAAGACTTAGTAGCAATAGAGTTTCTTGTGAAATAATTCGTTCAGGGAAGTACTGCCACTTTTTTCATTGCTGCCGCCAAACAATAATGTGACCATTACTACGTTCCGGTTTTGACGGATAAGGGTGCTGGTGGTACATGGGTCTTATCTACTTATGTCTCGGGGTGATGGGCGCAGCAGTAGTACCCCTAAGATCTATGCGACATAAAGCTCTGAGTGACATTGCAACTGCCATGGACAGACGTGTCGCTTACCTCCAGTCACACGAATTGTTCGTCTCATCACTTGGCATAACTAATATTAAAAAAAACGACTTAACGTGCTCATTAAGCCACTGGTAATATGGATTATAAATTAGCTGATTATTGTTACTCTGTGGTATGTGAATTAAAATTAGGTTTATTTTAATTCGGATGGTATTTAAATCGACAATCAAATATTCCGGCTTCACATCGCGAATATATTCGTTTTGTGTGAAAGGAAAAAGGTTGCAGCTATACAAAGGCGATGCACTAGCGATGCAGTCGGTCATTGCATAGTCTACTTACGCGCGCAACTTTGAGCAGCGATGCAAACGCGATGTAAGCGTGATACAAACGCGATGCAATCGCGACACAAACGCGATGCACGTTTTAAATTAATTAATTTATTTATTTATTTAACATATTAATTAATTTTTCGTACATAATTATTCATGATAAGCGACTGTATCGATGCAATCGCGCCTTTGTATCGATGCAGTCGCGCGTTTGCTTCGATGCAATCGCCTATAAATCGCAAGTGTGGCGATGCAATCACACGTTTCACGAACGCGTGTGTATAGTCTTCCGTGTCTCTCATCCCAGTGACTTTTTATACTTTTCAATCCTTTATATAAAAGTGTTTTGTGATACGGTAGAAAACGCGTAATATAATTACAATTTCTTCACTCTAATAATCAACGAGGCTGGAGAAGACTGAGAACTTTGAAAGACAAAGAACTGCCTAAATTCGAGTTCCAGTTTTATTAATTCTATTATAAACTCTATTAAAACGATTGTTTCTTGTAGTCTTTCTAAAATTGCTTGATTATTAAATCGCACTTGAAACCCAAACTTGAAACACAAACTGTTGTTACTCAAAATTGTGGAATTGAGAAAACAAAATTTAAAAATTCGAAAAAGATTGAGAATGGATCTTATTGCGAATAATTATCCATTTATAAACGAGAATGTATATTTTGGTTTCATTTGGTTTTGTTTGGTTTCACGAGTTCTTAGGTTTTCGCGATTGTTACACATAGGAAATGAAACTATTTTTCCGGATTTAAATCGCGTATATTTGTTTTTTCAAACAAACCGACGTTTCGGGCCTTTTACAGGTCCCATGGTCACGGTTGACTGAGGTTTTCATTAAGGTTTTTTTTTTAACTTTCAAATTGTGTCTTCTGATTCTACAATTTTGAGTTACGACAATATTTAATTTCGTGTGCGAAATGTTAATCCTGTTTCTTAATTTTGTTCGAGTCTCCATAATATAAATATGTCCACGAAAACTAAGATAATGCAGCAACAATTCTTTACAAAATATAACAGCGGAGCGCAATGTATGGATGCTATTAAAATGTCACGTGCTCCGACCACTGTTCCAACTCTAATTCATTGAAGTTAGCCCACATAAAATAGGGACACACTCGTAAAAACACTCACCTATCGCCTGAGGTATAGAAAATGGTCTATATAAAAATCGTTTATGTACCAATGTGTAATATAGTTTTATGGTTTGTAATATAGTTTATAAGTAAGCTCTATGCGAGTGGAGGTATACAGGGTGTAATTATTCAAAGGACCCAGGTGATTAGTCCGTAAATATATGAGATATCAAAAACCTTTAAACTGATATCGAAAGTTCGTTACCTAATGAGTAAAACGATAGAAGTATCCAAAATGTTTACGTTAAATCATATACATTTAATATGACATTCGTAGGTGTGTCGTTTACCAACAAGCGCATATAACAATATCAATTAATAATAATGAGTGACGAAAGATATTCGTATTATGTGAAAATACTTTAAAAAATGTAACGTATGTGGCGATTTAGCTGCTTCGATATAAAAAAACGGTACGTTAATCGACTTAAAAAGAAAGAGGAGGATCTCTATTCGAATGCATTTTTTTGTGTATGCTACGTGATGTCTCCAGCATTTGTGAACCGATTTCGATAATTCTTTTTTGTTGGAAAGAGGGAACGAAGGGGTATAGAGGGGAAAATATTCCACCTCTATGAGTGGCAAACTAGGGGGTGAATTCGGTTTCGCGCACTTTCCGGTAACCGATTTCAATAAAACTTGGCAAATAAATGTAACTCCACGAACTTTTGAGGTCAGTTTTTTTTTATAAAAAAGTTACAATTATAAATTTATATTATTAGTTTCCCAAAAAAATTGCTTCGCCAATTGCGCCATTTTTTATTGAGGGTATAATCGATATTACCAAAATAGCTTGTTACAGAGTTTTTCGACTCCGAAAATATTAGTTATTACGAGTAAAAATGAAAACTGCGCTATGTAAATATTTAAAGTCTTATCCGGTGGACTTTGCGGTATTTTAGTCACGTATTTGAAATATGTAACTACCTCGGTGGCCGAACGGTTTCCGAGCAGGTCTGACGCGCGGAGGTCCCAGATTCGCTTCCCGGGCGGGGGGTCCAAGGTCGTCTAAGTATATTATTAAAAGTAACATGTCTGCAGTGTTTTCCTTTTTAATGTCTAGTTTGTAAAAACGAGGAAATTAATTTTCTTTTATCCTTAAGAGGACAGTGTGCTCCATATAAACTTAGCGTGATCCTATTTTGGACACATATTAATAAAATTAGTTGCAATTTTCGTTTATGGCCTTTTTTCGATCTGAAAATTATATAATTTCAAAACTAAATCAGTTTTTTAAATGAATTATATTTGTAACCATGGTTCCAAACAAGGTGCTGTGCTTTAATATTAGACAGACATAAACATAACAACACGATGAATAAAATCACTATAAAGAGCCCAAATAAATTGGTTTATTTGAAAAATTATTTATATGATTTTGGATACGAAAAAAAATTGTTCAATTATCATTTAAACTTGCTTATAAAGTTGGAGTTTTCAACCAAAATTTTTATTGGTACTTTTTTCAGACATTTAAAAAAATTATAATTCGAAATTTAAAACGTTTCTTATATTTCATACGTTCATAGTTCTTTCTACATATTTTGTCATATACGTGCCATTACGCCCAGACCTCGATCATGTTGCGGTGTATAGAATAGTAACAGTAATGGTCACTCAACGTTGTTACAGTCTCCTATTAAACGCCAACCTTCAATAAATTTATTCAAAATAGAAATTCATAATCACTTTTAGATCATTGAATTTTAATAAAGTTGAATCCACTTTTTCAATTTCCTACAGGTTTTCTTTTTAATTTCGTATTAACTATAGTTATTTATAAGAAACTCATTACTGAATATTGTCTACAGGTAACAAACTGACCTGTGACTGTCGGCTGTCCTGGCTTCACAAACTCCGAAACGAGACAAAGAGTAAACGCCTTAAAGCATCACTCGATCGTCTGAACTGCATCATGGACACTAAAATTAAAACCAACCCACCAAACGTGAAAGTTGAAGTTATTAATGTTATTTCGAAAGATTTAAAAAAAGATATAGAAAAGGAGAAAAACTATGAAGACATTGAAGAAGATGATGACGAAAACTTTTATGATGAAATGCAAGATGAAGACAATTCCGGCGATAATAAGATTGAATACAGAAGAAAGTTGTTAGAAATTCCTACGGAAATGTTACCGTGTCCTAAAAAGCTAAGTTACGAGGACTCATTCTCGCCCCCTACACAGGATGAAGTTCGGTACTATCAAAGTTCGTCGAGTAAGAGTAATTTGGAAATAGTACTGACGTTAATTGTAATGGTAAATATGTTGTAGCCCAATCAATGAGAATTTTGATGTAAATATGAACAGATATAACTAATTTGGTCTCTAAGGTGATTGAAATGAGAGAGAATAATTTTAAAACATTACAAGTGAGGATGGATTTTTGGTGTAATAATGCTACAACTGCAAAGTGAAAACTTTTCTAGAGAAAGGCTTAAAGATTCTACGAACGAAATTACTCGATAATATTTTTATGCTTGAATACAAGAGTCATAAAATTGCAGTTAATCTCCTAAGGCCCCGTATACGTCAAAATGTATATAATATATGAAGTGATTCAGATCCAGATAGTATCATTCCTACTCGTATGATCACGAATTACGTGACGCCCAGTTTCAAAAATGAAAATATAGCATACAATGAGCAATACCCAAGTTCCATACAGTCTTGTAGTAGCGAAAAAATATTGGACGATCATTAATCGCAGATAAAGGTTTTCCTCTGTATTTCTATATATGGTTTCTAATTATACTAGATTTATATTTTTTTTAGGAACAGAAAGGCTATCTTTTAAGCATGTGATTATATTTAGAACATTACAATGCAGATTGGGCGTTTAGCCTTTTTCCCATTGTACTTTTCTGGGTCTTGGGAAGATGTGTATGGTTTCATATAGTTCGTATTATTTTTGTGACTTTATGTTATAAAAGCAATTTTGATGACATGTGGCATTATTATACCAAAGATACGATTTCTTTTGAGCTCGTGTTCAGATGTACGTTATAGGAAACTCATTTTATATGGAAATGTACTGATGGGATCACTGAGGTGTTATCATAAGAGACGACTTTACGTTTCCATCTATATAATGTCCTACATCTGACTTCGCACCAGTTAACACGTGGGCATCAGATTATTTTTTATCTTACTTGCCTATGTCTTCATTTTGAACCATTTATTAAGTTCAAATGTTTAATCTTCCCATTTCAATGTAATTAATACCTTAATATGATTTTTAGTCGTGATAATTTTTTAATGATCAATTAAAATTAAGTACGTAGATAATTTAGAATGTTCATTTTGTTTGTTAGATAATTTAACATTCTAGCATATTCTAGGTATTAAAGTTGACTGAACTTAGTACTCATAATTTAAGGGTTAAGGTATGTTCGGGCTATTTAAGTGTAATAAAAAACTAAGCTTTTTTTAATAAAATTAATTGGTTGAAACCGTTCAATACCTCTACCATGAATTTACTGCGACAGTGGTCGGTAGCGATCGCGTAAAATATTGGCTACGGGCAATTTGATTAATCTGGTATTATTAATACGGACGGTCAAATTGATAAATTTATTACTTTCGCTGGTCTGTATTAATAATTGCCGACTGACTACCTGTAGTCCATTTGATAAATATAGGACTAAGATGATATGAATTTTTATCACTTGGACTGGTCAGTATAAATAATTCTCTACTTTTCGCGAGCAATATCCCAACCTAACCAAAACACTACAGTTAATTTGTTTTATTACTTTGATCACGGCAGGGCGGCCGGGAAAAGTGATTTATCGTCTAGTTTTTATTATATTGGGCTTTTGATGCTAGATTTGTTATTTTTTTTAATTACGATCAAGTTACAAAGACAAAAAATACATAAACTAACCTTATAAACTAACATACATAATAATATAATAATACTTTTCATTTATTTACACGTATGGACCGCGACGTGTGACGCAACGTGGGTGTCCGGTGACCGTCCTCGAAAGTCTCGGTACATGACACCCTTTAGCCAAAAGTCCTCCTCCGTGAAGGTCGACAGATGTTGAGTAGGTACTCTTACCACAAATGAAACAAAATTCATAACAATATCTGCAGACTTTGTGGAATAATGAAGAGACCGGCCATTACTCACACTAACCGGGGTTATCAAATTGCTTACATTACTGTAGCGTCTACACAGTGGTACTGTATTATCTACCATATTTCACGTGACCGCTCGATACCTGTCCTAGTAAACTCACGGTAGAAGCACTCAGTTACGAATGTCAATAAATCTACACGTCACCACTTACTGCCATGTGCAACCTAGATAATTACTTAAGAAAAAATAGTTTTTTCTTTACGACACCAAGCAACGGGTCGAACAAGTCGTGCGCCTAGCCCATAATAGTTCCAGTTGGCGCTGAGCTTTAAATCGCAAAGATCCGAGAGGCACTCCCATCCTGAGACGTAAGATAACAAGTTACATGTACTGTAATTCACCAGCACCCTTAGAGCGTTCGTTGGCGTTAGCGAGAGTTCCGAAAGTGAGAAATAATAGTCCGAAATATCACCGGGATCATTTTATTTCTGGGTGCGCAAGCGATATTTGTGTTTGGGACTTAGTGCACAAGTGACACTCGAAGTGGGTCCGAGTTTTCTAGAGTTGTAAACAGTTGCAGATGTTTATGAAGCGTAACTAAGAACTATCCCGATTACATTTGCCTTCAAATAAAAGAACTGTTTTGAGATCAGTACACATACAAACACTCTGATACACAGGCAAAGGTTTCAAATTCACAACTCCGCTCTTTTTGCGTCGGGGATTACGGGCACTGTTTTGTCTCTAGAGTAAAAGCATTGTATATTAAGACCAGAATGATAACTCCATACAAACGTCGCAACGCCGTTTGTACGTGTGCACGCCTGTCGCGTGCCGTGTACAAACGCACACATTCACATAATCTCGCAATGCATTCGCGTTGCATAGCGCTGGTCATCACACACGCCTTTCATTATTATGAAAATGTGTGCGTACGTACAAGGCGCGCGGCGGGCGTGCACACACACAAGTCACGCTGTTACGTTTGTATGAAGTTACCATACTTGTTTTATTATACTATGATAAAAGGGTGTTTGTTCTTCGTTAAACCGATGTAAAGGTTTTACGTTAAGATAATTTACTCTGTTTATCCAAACCCATTTCACTTTGCACAGATTTTATAATACATCTCAATTTAAAATTCAAGGTTGAAATTAATCCATTATGCGGAAAGCTTAGGAGTATGTGAGTTTGTACATTTAATGTGGCATATGCTGCACCCTTTGCAGCTTGGCAACAAGGCCGTCTGTTGTGCATTAGATTACCGTGTGTTGTCACTGTAATATATAATTTCTAATAAAGAATATGTTATTTCGTCATTCTGTACAAGCCTTATTTGTCTATGTTTGAAGGCTCTTTATTGTACAAACGTTTTATTGCGTAGGTGAAAATAAAAACGTATCGCCTGGGCCCAAAAAGCGTTTGAAATCACGCAAATAACTTTGTAAATAACATAATTTCTATTTGTGTAGCACGGGACTTGAAATTTTAATATTTTCAACGAATTGTAATTTTCTTACACTGTTATTAGATTTTAAAATATACCATAAATTTTCAATTTCATTAGAATGCAACTTCAAAATTTAGTAGTTTTTCATTTCCGAATGCCTAGTCCAGTGCTTGAGTCCAAAATATGTATACAGTATGTACCACATAAGACGGTAACTTATTTGTTTATCAAATAGGCTTGGCTTCATTCGTATCGCACAGAAATACTGTAATCGGTGTAAATTATAGTACTTTATATAATATTATAACTACCTCATCGTCAAAATGATCGGTGCATTAGAGGGTTAAAAAATAAGCATCTAAATATTTCATCTAAAAATTACTCTTATATTAATGAACATAAGGTAGTGTCAAAATATTGAAATAAGTTTGGTATTATCGAATGCTCAAATCTTTTTGAACAGGTTCTTACGCACCAATCTTTTTGACGCTGACTGTACTAGAGGAAAATCAATCAGGACAGGAACCACCGGCCTATTCCATTTTTTATCAATTTAGTCGAAATTTTCTAACAAATTTTATTTATTGAACAAGTTTCGATAGTTTTCTGCTGTGGCCGTATTAACTATTTTAAGCTAAAAATTTGATTTCAAATCTACTTTTTGATGCTTGATAACAGTGATGGAAATAGCATAAAGTTAATTACTTATCAATTTAGATTTTAAGGAACTTTGTGAAAACGTATATCGTATTTTTGTAGCTTAAAGTTAGTTACACAGGACATAACTAATTCAGTTTTCACGATATATTTTTACATTTCCTGTTTTGCCGTATAATTTTACCACAACACCGAAAGATGTTATCATGAAATTGATCAAAAAACCATTGCTACTTAAGACAAATTAATTAAACACTCGATTTTCAGTAATTGACGACAATGTGCTTGATCCCTAGACATTTTTGATGTGTATGCATAATGCATACTGTATCATTAATTTGTAAGAAACTAATGTAACTCCATACATACGTAGCAGCGTGGTTTGTACGTGTGCACGCCTGTCGCGTGCCGTGTACGGGCGTACACATTCGCATAATCAATAAATCATCGCAATACGCATACGCATTGGGCGTGTACACATGCAAGCCGCGCCGCTAAATTTGTATGAAGTTATCATACTTATCTTATTATACTCGCAAATTTGAGTTACCAATGACGAAATGTTTTGTACCCGACTGATTATTCCCTTTGTTGAATAATAAATTTTACAGTGTCTAGGAATTTGCTTCGAAATTCTCATTGAACATTTTTGTGTTTTGTTCATTTTTTCGTATGTCTTTATTGATCTACTCACACTGTTTCGGTCCAATTCTGATAACAATGTTCAAATAAACCACCACCAAAACTAGAACGTTTGATTCGATAATCTCAGTACAGAGTACTAAAAAAACCGACCTCAAAACTTATTCGTCCCCTAGTTTGCCACCCTTAGAGACGAAATATTTTCTTAAAATCCTCTTGGACACCACTTCTGAGGAACTCCTGTTTCCAACAAAAAAAAAGAATCACCAAAATCGGTTCACAAAGGCGTTATTGCGTAACACACATACAAAAAAAAATACAAATATAAAACACAAAAACCTCGTCCTTTTTTTGAAGTAGGTTATAAATAATAAAAAAAAAAATTTTAAAGTAAAATTTTAATCGTCCTTTGATTTCGGTTAAACGTTGCGGTATAAGTGGCCAGTAATTCATATGAAGGTTGTTATAGAAATTCAGCCCTTTTAGTATGCCCTTTAGAATAATATTGTTTTTGTAGTTATTGAGTATTTGGAAATTACTATCGTCATATTATACGACAACTTTTGTTCCATGCCTTAGAATATTTCATCAGTTTTTACTTTCGTACAGAAATAAAAAAAATAAGCAGATTATTCTAAAAGGTGATAACTCTGTGCGGTAGCAAAAGAAAACACGC